GCAGTTGGCAGAAGCAAGTAGAAAAATAGGGACCTCCTTTGGTGGGAAGGTAACAGCGTTCCGTGCGCCTTCGGCATTGAGTCATGCCGGCCACATGACCAAGGAGACGTCTTCGGACAGCGCTGGCTCTTCGGCTTTGAAACAGAGATGAGCAACGCCCCCTAGAGTCGGGAACAACTAGCACATCTGTGCGAGGGGAACCTTTATTCCTCTGGAATGGAGCCTCTCCTTCCTGGGAATTTAGACTACATTCCACCACAGCATTTCCGGTGTTCCGGAAAGGACGTGCTGGATGGGGGCAAAACTAGTGTGTTCTTTTGATAATCTCTTGTCCATGAGTTACTTACAGATTACTTTCGGTCAAGTATTAGTAGTGTTTGTATGAGGAACTGCGCTTCCCACGCCATATTGTTTACTCTTTGCACCTTTCTCTTTCCAACCTAACAGTATTACTACTCGGTCCGGATATTTGCAGGCCAAGAGCCCACTACTGTCTGGGTAGGTTGGGTGACCCCCGATTACCACCAGCATGACATGCACTTCGACCTCACGAAGGTGCGCAATGTCACGGTCACCATGGGCGACGACAAGGGAAACATCCACGACAGGTGAGCATCGTCCAGACCTCCTCCTGTGCTTTACGGATCTGCTACAAGCCCGTTTCCGAGGAATAGTAGCAGATAACGGTAGAGTGGAGATGTGACCAGATGTGGGGGTATTTGAAGAGTCTTTTTTCCGGTTGAACGAAGGTTGAAACTACCTTTTGATATGGAAACAAGGGTGGGTGCAGTTGCCCAGAAGGATTTGGGAGAAGGAGAGGTGTAACTTCAAACCTTCTGGGTCCTCCAATCCAAAGGCTTGTAGTATCTCAACAAAGGGTAGGTTGATAGGTCATGAGCCGCGGTGGCGCAGTGGTTAGAATGCAGCATTGCAGGCTAACTCTGCCCACCGCCAGCAGTTCGATCCTCAATGGCTCAAGGTTGACTCAGCCTTCCATCCTTCCATGTTGGTAAAATGAGGATCCGGGTTGTTGGAGGCAAGAGGCTGACTCTGTAAATCGCTTAGAGAGGGCTGTATGAAGTAGTATATAAGTCTAAGTGGTGCCGCAGTGGTTAGAATGCAGTATTGCAGGCCAAGTCTGCCCACCGCCAGCTGTTCAATTTTGACTGGCTCAGATTTGACTCAGCCTTCCATCCTTCCATGTTGGTAAAATGAGGATCCGGGTTGTTGGAAGCAAGAGGCTGACTCTGTAAATTGCTTAGAGAGGGCTGTATGAAGCAGTATATAAGTCTAAGCGGTGGCGCAGTGGTTAGAATGCAGTATTGCAGGCTAAGTCTGCCCACCGCCACCTGTTCAATTTTGACCGGCTCAAGTTTGACTCAGCCTTCCATCCTTCCATGTTGGTAAAATGAGGATCCAGGTTGTTGGGGACAAGAGGCTGACTCTGTAAATCGTTTAGAGAAGGCTGTATGAAGTGGTATTGCAGGCTAAGTCTGCCCACCGCCAGCAGTTCAATCTTGACCAGCTCAAGTTTGACTCAGCCTTCCATCCTTCCATGTTGGTAAAATGAGGATCCAGGTTGTTGGGGGGGGCAAGAGGCTGACTCTGTAAATCGCTTAGAGAGGGCTGTATGAAGCGGTATGTAAGTCTTAAGTGGTGACGCAGTGGTTGGAATGCAGTACTGCAAGCAACTTCTGCTGACTGCTGGCTGCAGTTCATTTCTCACTGTCTCAAGGTTGGCTCACCCTTCCATCCTTCTGAGGTGGGTACAATGCAGACCCAGACTGTTGGGGGAACAAGAGGCCGACTCTGTAAACCGCTTAGAGAGGCCTGTAAAAGCACTATGAAGCGGTATATAAGTCTAAGTGCTATCTCCATCGTCTCTTACTTCAATAGCATCAAGAGAAGCAATTGCTACATGGTATGGGGAGGGGAGTTCGTCAGCAGTACCCAGCAGACCCGAGTTAGCACGGTGGACCTGGTGATCGGCTGCCTTCTTGATTCGGCCAC